GCAGATGCATAAAGGTCAAAGATGATTGCCACACTGTAAACAAAAGCATCGTGTGCCATCGCAGCAGAGCGACCCCATTTTTCTTGTCTCTTTATTATGATTAGACATGAATGAAAAATGCCAAGCTGACAGACTGCGAAATCCGTGGATTAAAAGTGCTAAGTCCAAATTGTGTTGGACGATATCAACGAACTTCAGGAATAAGTTGTAGGGATTTTGTTCGACGGCTACAGTGACGCCGACTTGGACATTTGAGGGTTTTGAGTTTGACGAAGATGGCAATGAACGTACAAATAAAGATCTGAAAAGTTTTTTCAAACAGCTATGAATTTTTATAATATTTACTGTGTAAATTTGGAAATTATTATTGATCTTGTATGATGGTTGATTCGTAATTTGCCGAGACCGGAAATCATTTTACGCAGTTTAACCCCTGACATTTTAATTCATTTTGAGTTCACGCGTATTGGGCGTGTTTGTGTTTCAAATGATTCCTCACTGTCGATTTTTATTATTTCTGGTTTATTTGTCACATTATAAGCAATACATTATTTTTGTTTTACTTCTAGTGTTGCATATTGTTCATTTATTTCTGTTGCATGTTTTCATTTGCCGTTCTATTCCCTGCCGCAGTTCAATCTGCGTGTTGTCAATTTTCGCGAATTTTCGTGTTTTTTTGCCGGGGATCTCCTGGCAAACGCCCACCCCTTCTTTTTGGCAATTTTCCATGTTCAGGACCCTGGGCTTATACCCGGATAAATACGGTACATGCATTTAGGGACAATGTAAAAAGATCAACGTAGGATAAAAAATTTTATTCCTTACTTTTCATTGGCAACTCCCTCACAGCTTTACTTTAATAAGTAGATTATAATAAACATCAGCATAAATCCTATCTCATTCTCAGGAATTGTGCAAAACCACATCTTTTATCACAATCAACAGATTTCATAATTGATTTTTCATTTAATCAGTGTGTGCAAATCAAATATTAAAATAAGATATTTTAGAATGTAAACAACTTTCTAATTTTACAGCTTAGATCTTTAAAGAGAACTAATTTTGAGCAGGGACTTATAATTATAAAATAATTTTAATAAGTTTTTTATCCAACATCTTTTGACGTTGTCCTTTAGTTCATATATTATACACGGGCTGTGTACATATGCTAAAACACAATTTTAATTTTTATTGGCCACTGCTTCATAATACATGCATATCATATTTTTATTAATAATTTTATCCTTGTAAAGAGTGTGAAACTTACATAGGATTGACAAATTCATAATACCTAGACAGAAATTAAATCTCTAAAAATACACTGCTGCTATCATGCTGCATGTTCATGTATGAAATTCAATTTGTTTGTATTTACACTTCCCTGTTTCATACCAATTGTATTTCCTGAATATAGATCTTAGATTTTGGTTTAGCCAGACAGACTGATGATGAGATGACAGGCTATGTGGCTACAAGATGGTACAGGGCGCCAGAGATTATGTTAAACTGGATGCATTATACACAGACAGGTGAGGAACCAACAATAAATATGATTATTTAATCTTTTATTTTCTGCAATTTAATCTTTAATTAATATAAACCTTGGTCAGCTCTCAAACAGGTTTGTTCATTTCATGAAAATATCTCTGATTTTTATTACTAGGGAATATTTTCAATGGTATTGAAACCTGAATCATGATTTTTTAAAGATTTTTTCATGTTTATTTTTTATTTCAAAGGTATATGCATTTGTGTGCGAGTGTTAAAATCTCAATTATAAATTGTCATGCATTGTTTTTCAGTTGATATTTGGTCAGTTGGTTGTATAATGTCTGAACTATTAACAGGACGTACACTGTTTCCAGGCACCGATCGTATCCTTAATTGAATCATACCAACAGATTTGTCTGTTCATGTGATCGTTCATGTATTCTCTCAGAGGTTCATAGTCGTTTGTTTTGATCCTAAAGTAGCCTAAAAAGCCACATTTAATGTGTGTAGAGTTGTACTTACTGACTGTACATCAAAAATACATTTTGGTCATTTTTGCTATTGTGTTCATTCAAACTTGTTACAGAGCCAATGTATTCATTGAATACTGGCAGCCATTTTGTTTGATGGAAATGTGTTGTTTTTTTAGCACAATTCTAATCAGATACATAGACATTTGTATTAAAACATATCAGTAAAAATTAAATTTTTATCATGACCCAATTCATTCCAACTTTCCATTCAGGTCCTAACATAGTACACAGACAAATATCATGTTCTAAAACATCAACAAAAACAGGTATCTATGATTTGACCTATGTGTGTGCATCTGCGTGTGTTTCTGAGCGTAGCCACCTGTATCTCAAACATGCCTGGTGGGATCATTCAAACTTCACAAATACATTACTTGTGTTTTATTCTTTGCCGACATAAATATGATTATAGACTCACACATGTTCGTTATCATGTAGTCTAAGCATTTAGTTCACAGTGTGAAACTGGAACATGAACTTGTACATAAATGCTAACCATTCATTGCCATGACATTTCTTGCTGAACTGAATCTGTGATAATATCTCAGGAGGACTCTTTGCAATGACTGCAGAGGCATTCTGTTCAACCATGTATTACAGTACAGAGGAAAAAATATTAAAACAGAGTATGAATACAATTTTTATCTAATGTATTAACTAAATAATCGGCCTAAATTAAACACCCCAACCTCAAGATGTATTGATATTTTTGAGTTCTATTGGATAGTATCAGAAATTATAGACTATAGAGGGCGATATCCCTTAACATGATATCCAGACATTGATCAGCTGATGAGGATAATGAAACTAGTTGGCACTCCTGATGATAGATTGCTTGAGAAGATTAAATCACAAGAGGTAAGTACCAGTATTAGTAGTTATTGTGTTTGCTAGACCAGCACAGTCTATCAAATATGTAAATAATTTTGGTGGACATACTTTTCTAATAGAAATCGAATTCTCCACATGTGTTTGTTCATAAACTTGTCCTTGTAAAGATGTTGTTCAAAGCGTTAGTTTAAGGGTAATGGTCGGCGTGTAGTTCATGTTTTGTGTATACGAACAATGTAATTTATGAGTTAAAAGTCCTATATCGTACAGGACATGACACAACGACCACAACCCTTTAAAATGTACTGGACACATGCAGCCTCTTTTGCCCACATAATCTTAGTTGTTGATGAGATGACATTAGAGATACACTGTATATCAAATATTTCATACAGGCTAAAACCTACATCAAATCACTGGCGAAAATGGAGAAGCGAGATTTCCGTGACTACTTTGTTGGTGCCAACCCAATTGCCATTGATCTACTGTCTAAGATGTTAGTGCTAGATATTGATGAAAGAATTACAGCGTCTGAAGCTTTAAAGCACCCATATGTTGCACAGTATCATGATCCAGATGATGAACCTGATTGTCAGCCTTATGATGATAGCTTTGAAGGATTGGAACTGGATGTGTTAAAGTGGAAACGTAAGTTTTTAGCTCCGCTGTCGACTTTGTCGAGCGGAGCTTATCATATGAGTGATTGTCCGTCGTCGTCATCCATGTCAATGTTTTACTTTTTCGACTTCTTCTTGAAAACTACAAGCCTGAATGCTTTGATACTTGGTGTATATGTACCTTGGGTAGACCTCTCTCAGATTTGTTCATTTTTTTAAAGATATCTTCAATTCTCTGATTTTGGAGAATATTTTTGTCATTTTTGGTAAAAAGTGATATTTTCGACTTCTTGTTAAAAACCGCAAGTCCAATTGCTTTGATATTACATATATACGTACTACATGTGGACTTCTCTCAGATTTGTTAATTTTGTAATGATATCTTTAATTCTCTAATTTTGGAGAATATTTTTGTCATTTTTGGTAAAAAAATGATATTTTCGACTTCTTGTTAAAAACCACAATCATTTATGGTGAAAAATGATATTTTTGAATTCTTGTTGAAAACAGCAAGTCCCATTGCATTGATACTATGCATATTGTTCATTTTCTAATGATATCTTCTGTTCTTTAATTGAAATGTGCAGTGCTAACAGCGGAGCTATCTCAGCCGAGAGGCTGCTTGTTTAGGTTTATGTGATGATGAAACCGTGTGGCTTGAGGTGTAGAACATGTTATAATAATATTGCAGTTATATTACTGTGTTAAATGATGGGATTTTGTTTAGGTAAATAAATAAATACAAATCAGATGCATCCTGTTAGTGTTAGGAACAACTTGCATCTCTTCTTTTCTGTATTTATGCTTTTCGAATTATTTTGTTAGGCCAAAAAAAACAAACCAAGATCTGTTGCTGGTCCCATGTTTAAAAAAAATAAACAAAGTGGTGATGTGATTTTTAGTCCCTGTTCTGCACAGTTAGAAAACAGGGACTTATGGATTGACATGCTTCGGCCGATCACATTCGAATTTCACAAACACGTCATACATCTTGGGATACATATGCACATTCATTGGTTTGATCATCTGATTCACAATGGCCGAATGATCTTGATGCGCATCTTTTTGTTTTTCATATCAGATTCAAAATGACCAACTGGTCACATGTCAGAATCAGATGTCAGTCATGTATGAATGGATTTCATTCAAACTTGGTACATACATAGGACATTGGGATCTTGATGCGCATCATTTTGTTTTTCAAAGCAGTTTCAAAATGGCCAACTAGTGGTCATTTTGTTTTAATGAGTGTGGTTCTGGAGCCATATCACTGACATGCATTGCTTGATCTTGTTCAAACATTATATAATGTATATACATTACACATCTTGTTGCACATATGCAAGTACATTTTTTAACCATTAGAATGGCCAAATGGGGGTCATTTTAATGTTACAATAATAATTCTTCAAAACCAAGCATTTCTGTCATTCCAAAACCAGATCTACATTTTAGGTCATGTATAGATGGATTTCGATTTGTACATATAAATTGGGCATTATAGACCTCGATGCACATTAGTTTGTTTTTCAGATTGTTTAATGAATGTAGTTCCAGAGCTGTATCTCTGACATTCCTGGACTGATTATGTTCAAACTTTGTATATCCATCATACATGTTGTCACAAACATGCATTAATTTATTTGAAGATCTGATTCAAGATGGCCAATTGGTGGCCATTATAATGTTAAAAATGAATCAAAATCACCCAGTTCTGGTTGTAAATAGACACTTATAGTCCATCTCTGTACGTAGTGGTATATGTAATTGAACCATTTGTTTTTTTTCAGATCTTATTCAAAATAGCCAAATGCAAATTTTGTCTCTGACTGATTGCAATCAAATTACTTTAGGATTACGTGATTTGTTTCATGTTGTGATTCAAAACAGCTGACTCATTTCAGTTTTGTTTGCTTTTGAACCAACAAGAACTCTTTCATGTTTTTTCGACGACGTGGAGAAACATCAAGATCTTGCACCACCAGCAGCATGCACCACTTTGTTTCAAATGAAAAAAAATCCTCAGCGGTCTTTGGAACTGACACACTTGCCAACCAGAAACAGATCTAATTTTGTTTGGCCTTAGCTTGTTAAAAATCTGATTTTATTTCACTTGCAGCACTTTATAATTTGCCCTTTCCTAATTAAACCTGATCCAGTTTGAGTCATCATCTCTGAACTTTGTAGTAGTTTGCCGAGAATATTGAAAGCCTCTGTCAGATTTGAGTAACTGGACATCGGCTAAGCATAAATCACTATAATCTTTTCATTAATTGAATTATTACAAAATAATTGTTTGCAGTTTACTAAATTGTTAGAGAAAAAAAATGTAATTGTACCAGGTAGTGGTAACATAAATATAGTTTCATTTCTTGTTAATAAAAAGATACATTAGGGTGGGATTAAATAGCATCTAAATAGTGCCATTTGTTGCCAGGTGAATTACTAGACAACAAAATATCAAATTAATCCGTTATCAAAAATTAAGTGATCCAACTAATTTAAGGAATTATTGGTATAATTAAAGTGATACTGTATTTGCTCTATTAGAAGCGCATCACCAATAAAAGCACATATAAAACAAAAATTGCATGTGTTGTATACTGAAATCCTAAAAATAAAAACACCTATAATTTACAACACATACACTTCTAATAGGCTAAATACAGTACTGAATTAGTTTGGCTGTTGAAAATTGTCTTCATTTTATTGATAAATAAAAATATAACATGTATTCCATACATTACCCTGGATTGGATTGATCATAATATTGGCTGTTTACATCTTATGGCAGGCCTGATTTACCTGGAAATTAAACAGTAGGTAACCTTGGTGTAGACCCCTGAGCCATATTACAGGTATTTCTCAGCACTTTATGTAACCCTTTTCTTTGCTTGTCTGTTCCGTTAATTTTCTAGCTATAATTAAATGCATGCTAATTAACTAATTTCTAATGTTTTCAAAAGCATTGCTTACAAACATTTCTCCATGTCCATTTACTTGTTTTGAAAGGTGGAAAATATCACTCATTATATACTGTAAAAACATTAATATTCACTAGTTTTTAATTTCCCTAATTAGCAAAATCTGCTCAATTAAAACTCTATGAACAGGTGAAATTACAATAGAACTCATTTTTCACTGGGAAATCCAGTAAATGTACTCAAAATAATGAAATTAAACACCAGTGACGATTGATGCTTTTACAGTAATATACCAGACAGTCACAACCTCATTGCATCTGCTATAGAAATTTAGAGTGTGTTCATTGATATTTTTAATGTCATAAACCTCTCTGTATATCAATATTGTAAAGTGTTGTACAGTTATTTGATAATCTACTCTGTTACATTCTATTTAATTAAAAGATCAGTCACATTTTTTCTAACTACTGTATTTCCTCTATAAAAAACGCATCGCTAAAACTCATTAGATACATAAAGCTTCTGAGAAAGACACAAGACTTGTTTATGTCCCTCAAATAATGTAAACAAGATCTAAGGGTATATATATATATTTAAAAGTTACAGTGAAAGCAAAATTTTAAGAATAATTATGAGCAAAGTTGAGGATAAAAATTTTGTTGACTGATGCACAGTGTATCATAATGTTAGTGCATCCATATGAATTTTTGTAATGCATCCATGACTCTTAAATATAAAGCAGGTTGTCTGAGAAGACTAATTTATAACACATATGATCTCGCTGCAATTGGAATGAGAATGTTTGGGTATAGTGTCATTCAAAGCACAAAAATAGTAGAAATTGAAGGACCATGGTAGGAATGCAACATAACTTTAGTTTTTCAGTCTATATCACAATCTCTCTGCCTTCTCTTTACAGGATTAGTGCATGATGTAGTGCATCTCTACCAGACAGAGCCTGAAGAAGTTGAAATGGAAGAAGCAATGTCACAGTAGAGCATATTGTCTTGGTTTTCGTCTCATATCACAGCAGTACATTTGTATATACGTGTAATATAATTTGAATTGTAGATTAATTAATCATCTCAAATCAAACTGAAGCAGCTTAATCTGTTATGCTTTGGTTTACATTATTTGTCCTGATTCTTTTCCCTTGTCTTCTTGAGACATTTTTTTGTTTATTTTATATGAGAATCTCTTCGCAATAAGCCGAAGGAACACGTACGTATCACCTTTACAAATAAAATCTTTAATACTTGACTGAAGAATGCAATTACATAATGTTAAACGACTTAAACAATTTCATAATGCTACATATACTTCCACTAGTTTTAATATTCAATTTTACAGCTATATTATTATTTTTATTACAGAGTTCCAAATTTGTAAAAAAACAAAACAAACCATTATATTTTAGTTAATGGAATTCTGGATCAGTGGAACTGAAATATACATGTTCTTTGCTTAGCTTCGTCTCCTGAAACAATCATTGATAGAAATTGGCCATATGCTGCAACACTAATTTCCCAGATTTAAAAAAAAAAATCATCAGAAAAGCAATATGGTAGCTCACTGTTTTGCAAAAAAAAAAAAAAAATAGCAAAATTGATAGTTGAATGATAGTTGTAATGGTAAATTGATATCAATATTGCCATTTGTTATCAAAAATAAACTACCTTGGTAGATTGCCATACTGCTGGTTTTGTTTCCTGTGACAGATAAGATCAGATGCAAGCATGCTCTTAATGTAACAGAACATTTTGCAAATATCTAGTCTAACCGTTACCCGTTTACAAAACTCTAGTCTTTCTAAGTGACCAGTTTTATGTTATTTATCTCATCTATTTAAACCTTGTTATTAATGACTAGTATTTTGCAAGTTCCAAATTAGCAGATAGTTGTACTAAGATTATTGTGCACCAATCTCAGCAGATAATTGTATGGGTTTATTGTCAAATGCTATGAGTATTTGTGAACATAAGTACTTCGGATATTAAATGTACTTTATGAAAAAATCTGGATTATTTATCATTGTCTGTGTACAGCACAGTGTTTCTATGCATGCATGCATGCATGCAGCAACATCACAGTCGACTAGTATTAAAGCATTTTCGTATGTCAGGAATTTTATCACCTTGCGAGTGACTTTGACTGTATCAAATGACCAAATTTTACTGAAGCCAAATATATACAAACAAGACTCTTATGTTGGTCTTCTGTATTGTGGCGCTAGCCTTTTTTGTGAATTTACATATAAATTCTAGCAGTTTGGTCTTACAGCATTTCTGCAATGTATCCAATCTTTTCACACATTGCAGTGTACATTTCTAAATGTTGTGTGAGAAGGCAGTTTATTATTAACATTTCTATGCACTAATTTTGAATATAATTTTCTTTGTACTTGTTAAAAAAAAAGCTGTAAGAATTCTATAAATAATGCATGTTAGTGGAAATCATGTCTACATTTACAATGTAATGTTAGATTTACAATTGCAATGTTTTGATAAAGTATTGTCAGAGGTGAACAGTAGCATCAGTGCTTCAATCACTTGTTTTTTTTTTAAAAAAAAGGTTCCTTTGCCTTTTTAGCTCGTGGGAGTTGGGCATGGCTTTCGATCTGCAGTCATAAGAGAAAAAAAAGGGGTGCAAAGGAACTAGAGTGCAATTTTCTTTGAATTCAGTAATTGGTATGAAACATGTTTTGTTCAATAGTTTTAACCCAGCTTTTGGGGTGCAATTTAACGATACTGGTCATGCATTCAGGACTTGGTGTCATTAATCTCAGACACCAAACTATAGTAGCACTTTACTCATATGAATAAACTATCATTTTCAGGTACATGTATGTAATAGATTCAAATACAAAATATTTTGATTTTTCTGTGAATGTATTTCCATTCTGAATAGACTAAATAAAGAAAATTGAGTTTGCCATTTGAAATGTGTGAAAAGTATCTTTGTGAAAGAATGGGATGTACTTCGACCAAAAAACCCACAATTGAGGGCATAATCACATGAATTTAACTCCAGATTATGTTACCGTATTGTGATGTCATATTTGCAAGTGCATTTTGACCAATAAACAAAAGTAGCAAGTTACAAGAAACACACCATTGAGGGCATAATCAGTTAATTTTTTAAATACTGGATGTAAAATGAGCTATTCTGTGGCGTATTCATTGCTTTTAATTATGCTATGCAGTGATATTATGAAACCATAGAGTGGAGCACTTCCAAAAAAGGAATGCATGTGCTTGCGCAAAAAATTGTACGCTTCAGACCACACATGAATTATAGTTTCGTAGATTAGGTGAAACCAAAAGCTGCATTTTTTATTGGTTGGCAGCTACTAATTAATGCTACTCATTAACATATTTATCACCTCAAAATCTTGGTGATAGCTATAGAGGGCATAGCATAACAGACCAATTGTGGGAATTTCGCAGCAGAGCCACAGCGAGAGATTCTACAAACTCGTTCTTGGAGGAATTACACAACACTGACACAACTGGGCCAGTCTACCCTAGATGGTTTCTGCTACTTCACTGTGATGTCATACTTGCAGGTATATTTTGACCAATAAACAATGGTAGCAAATTACAGGAAACCCGCCATTGAGGGCATAATCACATCAGAATTACAGTTTACACCTACGTTTGTGTCCAACTTGCCTGGATTTTATTGACAAATAATGATCTCTTTAAAATTTAGGAAGCAGACTGGCATGGCTACAGCCCAGTTGTCCGAAGGTTCACGGGACCGAAGGTCTACGAGACAGAACATAAATAATACAATTATTTCAACGATTTGAAGAAGAAATCTATTGCGCAAGGGTTTAATTTTATGATAGTATATTAGAAATAAACAAATTAAAATTGTCATGTGACAAACCCGAGAAAAGCCTTTACACTTCATAGTTTACACTTTATAATGCACAAGTCACGTGGTGCAGGCGCCTACGTGTGCGGAAAGCCCCACTTTGCATAGAGAGTGCATACTCCAATATATTGGTACCGTGATGCGGAGGTGTAGAACATTTTTTGTATCATATTACGAAGTTTATCATAACTATTTATAAACTCTTTCTATTCAAAGCAGCGGAAACTGCTGCTGCCTTGTAAATGTCTGTATTAACTTACGGGATATATTGTGAATACTATCTCAGAGAAGTATTTGTAAGTAAAATGTGTCACACTATTAACGGGAAAATGCAGGCAAGTTATATTGTTATATATATTAATAACTGTAAGTATAAGTAAGTAATGTTATCGATATAATGAAATATTTACTGTTAGACAACATGTTTTTAAAATACATTATATTGTATACATGCACAACAGATAATCATAGTTTTATTAACAATTACGCAAGGCAAAAAACACTATGAATAAATGCTAATTCTGTCATGATAACGTTTTGATTTTGATTCATCACCTCATTTCCATAAATGTCAATATTAGAAAACAATATATACACATAAATTATGTAATATAAAATACAATTATTTAATTATTATTTGTACTGATATAAATGTTGATGTCACACAAATGTGTGTTGTCAAAATAATTATAAATGCCAAAAGGTTTTTAAAAATGTTATTTTTGGCATGCAAAAAAGACATTATTAAAGACATCATGATGACATGTTAATTTCATTACCTAATTATAACATTTGTGTTTAGCAGCTGTGATGATATAAATATGATTTTTAAAACAGATATAAACGGTGACTATGTCATTTTCTATAACATGTTGTAACATACTAATACAAATTATGAGTGGATTATATTAGATTATATATTCATACTTGTCCCTAGTGTACGCGCAAGCGTTCATAATCGACACGTACAGCTACATGAATGTGGGTTATAACTCATTCACGTTGGCAGAGAAGCGAGCTAATCAGTTTGTGAGAAAAACTAGCTGGGCTTAACCTACTCACTACTTCTGTGCAGGGACTGTACTAAGACGCACAACCGCGGGCCGCCCCAGAAAGATGTAGATTTTCGAGTACTTCGTTGCCAGGAAAGACACATAAATTGAAACAAATCTCACAACATATTAAAACCAAAAGTAGCCATATTTTCAATGTGAAAGGCGAAACACTATAAAGTACTGATTTAACAAATGTGAGTTGTGTCATTTGTGGCCTCAAGATTCTTCATGATGCAGACTACCGGTAGCTTGAAATCCAGCAAACTAGCGTGGGTTTCGTTATAGCAAAACAAAACACTCAAAAACGCAGAATTTTCCGCATATCAAATTTACGTCTGAGGTGCACTGAAATGTTATTTTTAGCTCACACACGAAAGAATGATCAGTCTAGAAACCGGTGTTCTGCAGACCACATTACCACGAGAGGAAAGGGATAGCAAGAAACATAGTTCATTGACTAGTTCACAGCAATTAGGCGAATTCAGACTTTTTCTGTAATCAATATAATTACATTCTTTTGTTTTAGAATGGAAAAGATCAAACAGTGCTCTTATTCAAACTGGCAGGAATTCTTTAAACATGGTGGTTCCGTTTATTTATTCATGTTTTATGATTGTCAACTGATTGTCACAAAATCGATGTAGCTATATTGGGCTTTCAAAATATTAACTATTCTCTGACGTAGGGCATTTTTCCTATATATAATGAAAACATCCATACACTGAAAACTATGTAATTACAGAAAGAAACTGAGAACACGCGACTATTTTAATATAAAAACATGAATATTGTGTGGTTCATTTATGTAGTTCCGTATAATATACTATACATTGGTATAATGTCCATTGTTATTTCAAAGCATTAAAAAGTCGCTTTACTTGTTTTGTGTTGAATGCGTCAATTTATATTCTTCTATGAATAATAATCCAATATTAAATATGATAGGAGTTTGTTTTCGTAATCACAAATTGTGAGTAGAGGGTGGTTGACTGCCACATCTAAATACAAAGGAAATTTATTTTCTATATTCATTCATTGCATATGAAGACACATTTCCGCACATACCGGTAACTCACATTCTAGTAATTTTGTCAAGAAATGTATTGACATATTCCCGAGCTTTAGATTTTTGTTTTGAAATTTCGGTCTCGTGGACCTTCGATCTCGCGGACATTCGGTCTTTTGAACCTTTGGTCTCACGAACCTTCAGACAACTGGGATGATCCTGACTGGCACATTTAACCTTAATAAAGCAGACTTGAGAATCAATTTTATACTGAAAGATGTTTCTTTATTGTAAAATATAAAATTAGATTTTTTTTTGTTTTATTTATTTAAATAAAAAGTACAACACAAAATATTCAACAAAGTTTCTATAAAAACTGGTAAAATGATCCATGAAAAGTGAATGAATTTCATGGCAACCCACACCATATGACTAAATGCATTCCAGATAACCCAAACGTCCCAATAACAGGAAATGAATAAATAAATAAAATTGTAACATTACACCTTGTCTCCCTTTATGTCCCTGTAAACCAACAATAAAAAGATTTCCAGTACAATACACAGTAAACAATAACAACTGAGTAACAAAACATAAAAAAATAAGGTGAGCATTGAATTTAGACAAATAGGTATTTCACACCCTCTGGTGACTGTCTATGATACACAAGGATGAGAGAAATTTCTTTTCCAAATGTCAAGAAGCATTTTACTGAGCCCGTGCAACATACAATCTCCAATTTGGTAAATTGCTAGGTATTTTAATCAGCAACTGTTTGAAGATCAATATGAAGATGCATGTGATACACAACAAGCAAACTTACACATTATATCCCCTTTTAATCCTGAGTGAATCATTCAACATGAGGTCTCTCAAAGACCACAAAGCTTTGAGTGGGTCACCATGGGAACCAGGACCATTAGCTAACCAATGCACTGGTAATTTAGTTTTCTGTTGATGTGTCATAGGAGTATCTTCTTTACGAGCTGATATGTTCCTATCCCAGTCAGTTATTGTCTTGGATTCAACGTTAAGACCTTCAATATATCTGAAATAAATAACTTGTATGTTATCATGACAAGAAGTCTTACACTATATGACCAAGTCTGTTACATAACTTGGGTTTGCTACCGTAGTGTTCTGTGTTTGCTAAATCAAATGAACTAACAGAAATATTTGGAATAATCTTATGTGATAGAATGATACAATTCCTTGTGCTTGGTGACTGTTTTTTGTTACCTGTCAAATGTCAAATAAATAAAAAGTTGCTATGATACAGAACCATAATAGTGAGAATCATGACAATCCTACCTGAGATATGCTTCTGAATGCAGCAATCGTTGTGTTTTGGGTGGGACAGGTACAAACATCGGAGCAGGTGGCTGGGGTGGTGGTACTGGAATTTGAGGGGGCTGTACCTGTGGCATTGGTGACTGGCTTACTGGATGACCACCTGTAGTCAGGAAACATACATATTAGGAACAGCTACGAATTACCAAACAATAAACTACACATAATATTAAATGGTTGCAGCAAGACATTCAATGTGCAGAAAATATCAAATAAATACAGACCCGGTTTTCAACTTAAGGGGGAGACCACACATATTTCACTTCATATGAGCAGTGTACAATGTTGTGGTTTAATAATGATACATTTAAATACCAAGAAATATTTTTTAAACAAACCAGTATTTCCTAGATTGTGATTCTACTATCTTCAATGATGTACATATCAGACTACCATAGTTGCTCTATTTGGAGTGCATCTCCAATAAAAGTGCACTCAAACCAAAAAATTGCCTTTATTGTATTCTTTGTCATTTGTGTAAGTATATTCACTCTTAATACAGCACATATGGTATATATTGATAGTCAAAGGATTCCACAGTGAATGATTCCAAAAATCCATTCACTACATATTCTGCAGCCCTTATATTATACCTTGATCAAAGGCAGGACTTGCTGGTCCACTGTGTGGACTAGGCGCTGGTGGAGGGTGAAGACCTGGTCTAGGTGACATCATAGGCGGTGGAGGTTGCTGTGGGTGTGGTTGCATCATAGGTTGGCCCATCCTACCTGCAGGTATACCTACACACCAAACACAAAGCAAAGCAGACAATACCACACAATGTAACATAGAAACAAACCATGCATGGGTAAGGGTAACATAATACAGCCTCACAGCTAGGGAAATGTGACAATATTTATTCCAATTAAACAATATTATATAGAATTCATGCATCAACATAACAGGTGATGTGCAGACATGCTATTATATGATAACAAATAGAGATTGTATTTTCCGGTTAAATGTGCATATCTATGCACTCACCTTGAGTGGTGTTTATTGGTTGCATCCCATGCTGCATCTGCATTCCCTGGCTTCCCATGACCATAGGAGACATACCAGGTTGCATTACTTGCTGCTGAGAATGAGGTGGCATTCCCTGCATGGCACCAACTTGTTGCATTCCTTGATGTCCTTGCATCATTCCTGGCATTGTACCTTGCATTCCATGCATACCAGGTTGCATACCAGGTTGCATACCAGGTTGCATACCGCCCTGCATCCCTGGATGCATACCACTTTGCATCCCTAGATATGCAAAGAATAATTAAATAATTAAGATGAATATTCTGTCACAGAAGTCACACTTCATTAGCTCTTTTGACTTAACTTAGTCAGCTTTCAAAATCAATTTATACACTTTTATACATATCATTTTTGGAAAAAAAAAGTTGTTATTTTGAAAAATCAAAACCAACTAATGAAACACACACTACTTACCTTGCATGTTATTGACAACGCCATGCTGTGAAACCATTCCAACAGGAGTCGGTGGTCCCACAATGCCCATCACAGCACCACTAGTACTTGGGGTCATGGGACGTCCACCAGGGCCTGGCGATCCACTCTGTAGACCACCACGAACTGATAGACGTGAAAAGAAATTTCTGAAAAAAAACAAGAACACTGAATAAACTTGCATATTCACTTTATAGTCTGATTCATATATAAATGAGCTTTAAGTGAAGACATATATAAGCAGTGATTCATTACTACAAGACATTACTAGTTCCTTTTTAAAGTTTGTATAAAATAAAATATCACATGAAAGCTGGGACACACAGAAGAGTTTTATGTTCACTGTATGACATTTAGAAAATAATTCATAGTTGTTTGGGAACATCTCACAATGGTTGAATGATCCCAAGTACAGGTATAAGGTGGGGTGGTTTTCATCTGTATACTGTAAACTTTTCAAAGGTGCTGGGCCAACTTGAGAAATGGAATCAATGAGTGTGAAAAATATGCAAATGCGATTCTTGTACGGATTTATTTCCACATAACAGCATTGCACATCAGTTGTAATTTCACAAAGTTTATTCTCATCACAACAATGCATGAGACACCAAATCAGCAATATTACCAGCTAAATCTGCTAACAATAAAGCTGTGTATTAGAATGCATAGATTTGATCTTTAGGATTACACCTTTCTTAAGAAAAGTTTGATAAAAACAATTTTTTATACGCCATACACTTTCATGGTTCGTTATCAAATGTACTTACAATGTAGGCTTGATAAAAAGGGCTTTATTACTTTTGTATTTAACCTATGGAGTCTGACAACATAATTCAGTTGTCTCATTAATTTTTATAAACAATCTTTTATAAATACTCTCAAATCATTCTTTTAAATTTTATATGTAACTTTTACATTATTTTTATTAAAGCCGCTTTCATGTACAGAATAGGATAAGAACTACGGATAGTAAAGCTTGTGCCAACTTTCCACACACACTTGTAGAATAGTCAAGTGACAAGATCAATTGTGACTACCGGTATAAGTTAATGACTTCACATCATGTGGTTTATTTCACAAAATTCAATTTTAAAAATAATATAAAATCCAAGGTATGAAAGATATGAGAATGTGCCTCTTGCAATAAGTACAAGTCCCCTATTTGAGAATGGTATGATCCAACATTTTCCCACGATACAAATCATGCATTCCAAAGTGTAGCTTTACTCAGGACTGTAAAAATGATTCAAATGAATGCTCTGATTTATCATAATACCATGTAGACCATCAAAAGCCTAACTCCTCTGCTAGAATAACTTGTCACTTGTTCAGTTCTTGTATTGTAATCTTACCTGCTTCTTTGCTGTGGATAGATATGTTTGGATGACACCCTCAGATGAACCTCTTTACAATGTCTGATAAGTCGCACCAATGCTGGGAAGGGTCTGAGCAAAATAAACATTAAAAGTATTTATAGACATGTATTGAAGGTGGGGTGGGAAGACCCTTCTAATTTTGTCAAAGATGAATATTTCACTGTCCCATATCTGACTGAGCAAATAGTTATGTCAAGGATCATATAGGGTACTGTCCTATGATATACTATGTATAAACATAATTGGTCAAGACATGTCTCCAATGTGAAGCAGATAGGCAACAAAATTATAGTGCATTTTGAGACCTAAACTGACAGCAATGTATGTACACAATGTCCTATAATGTATTATGTATGTGAAAATGTGAACAACAAGCATGCCGAAGATATGGCTATGAAACAGCAATTTGAAAACAAAAATATCACATGTAGCTACTATGAATCAGTTTGGTAAGTAAAATGACATGCATTAAGCAATGGATCTAGGAATTAGAAACCACACATCATAAAATCTGTGTAAAGAATATAAACAGTAAATAAGAAAGCAGAAAGCAGAAAACAAAATCATCATGATCATGCTATGCATTATTAACCCCCCCTTTCTTTCTATTGGGGATTTTCACACAATTTATGCATGGGTAAGGTGTCATTTGTTGGCAAATTCACTTTTAAGGTAAACTTTTCAGCATGACTTACTGGTTAACTTTTCTATTTCTGGGGCATCCTCTCCACAAGCAAGGATATTCTGGTTGTTCTCCTGTAGAATAAAGTCAACATATTTTATAGAAAAAAATACTATTACTAAATCTTATGGTTTGAGCTATGATTTGAAATCATTAAATTGAAATCTTATTATATCATTGTACATATTCTGTACTGCAATGATTGTTGATTCAATCTACACATACCTAGCATTCTGAGATGTCCCGAGTTCTCAATGATATGATTTGTCAGATCCTGTAAATCTTCAAATTGGAAATCGCAATCACCCCAGCAGCATTCATAGACCACCATTGTTCCCGGTGGTTGTACCTGAGCCGGAGATCCAGGTGCATGCTGGAAACCTTCATTACTAGCTTCCTCCTTAGCTGCTGCCTGTAGTGCTGCTCTCTCTTCATACTCCGACTTTTGTTTAGGTGGTAAATTACGCCACTAAAAAAGGTTGGTGATGAATATTATTCTTATTATTACTGTAAACTGTAAATTTTCGTTGGTAGAATTTTTTTTGTGATTTTATCCAAATATCGAAAAAACATCATTTTCACTACAATTTTTTTACCAAAAACAATAATATTGTGCCCAAAAATGTTACCTAAAAGTGTATATAACACCATAAAATGTCAGCATGTAGATGAATCAAAATAAAATTTCACATGATTTGATGTATTTATTCATACTGAACAAAAATAATCACTCAATTTGAGACAATACAGGGAAAGAACAAGTTCTACTTCAAAGGCTGGCTGTGTTCAACTCACCTCTGTTCCAATAACACGGCTAAGTTCACCAAATGAATGGTCCGGATACTGTTTTTTGAGATGTGATCGGATTTCACTAGCAAATAAAATATAACCGCTGGCAGTTCTCTTGGTTTTGGGCTATAAAAAAAAAAAGAGTGATAACATGTACTTTATTACCCAAGCTCTTTCGTTGCGTGTGACCACTATCACTGCATTAACATCTTGTGTATTATCCACATGAAAAGCAACGTTGACCGTTGGCCTGTCATATTCAGTTAATTTATTTGCTTGTTTACATATTGACATCTTGGTTTGTGATTGGCTGTTGCTACAGTACAAAGGTTATACAAATTCAAATGGGTGTATAAAAGTGAAAGGTATGGAAAATGCACTGAAGTATAATGATGCAACCATGACACGAAACTTCCTTGGTAGTACTTTATACGAATAATTCCTAATTATTTTTCTGATGGACATTTATATTACTCTTTATATTTCCAGTGACAAACCAAAAGTTCTACATATCTCACTCACATATTACTTACTTTAACTGGTGTTTCAATGACTGGTGGTGGAGGGGGAACTGGTGCCGCTATAATGGTTTCATCAGTTTTGCTGTCCACATCCTCATTAGCCTGATCACTAGCCTGTTCCAGTGTGGCTTTCTGTAACAGTGGTGATGGCTCTTTCAATGGAGTGATTGGTTTCCTATAGAAGTAAATCTCATCATCTATAACTTTATTAGCTACAGAGAATTTTTTTAAACCTTTGAGTTTCCTGATCTGTCTTTCAGCTTCATTGTAACGAGACTCGCAAACATATACATCATCTTCAGCAATTTCAGTGGGACGGCCTATAAAAAGAGTAATTATATGTTTACCATCTGACTAGTGTACATGTAACCTCCAGTTAGCCCAGTAAGCCATTTCAACCATTGGCATACACTGATAACAGCTACGAAACAGATTTATCAATCATATTTGCACAGTAAATTATTTTCTAAAATGTTCCTTTAAATTCTATTTGTCTTTTATTTTTGAAAATAGAAAACATGTATTACCAGGAACAGAAGTTTCATTATCTAAATTTAAACCATGAGCATGACATCAAACTAATTGTATTTCATTATCTGGGAGAAGAACCACCAAATGAGGTAGAGGTAGAGAGAGGGACAGGGATTTCTAGAAATCCTGGAGAAGATAAAGTACCGGATTCTACTGATACCCCACCCTGGGCGATGTTATGGCAGATAATATAATGGTCTAAGATAAAGAACCACCTTAGTCCTGTTAACCTCTGATTTTAAACCTTTGTATTGGACCTCTCTCTGCTACTCATATTTTAATTAATTTATCATTAAAATAACATTTATTTGACACAGTCCCCATCAGTTCAGAAATTGTTACAGGGTATATGCATTTGCAGACACAATTATTTCTCCAGTCATGTATAAATATACAGTTGGGAGCATTCTTGAGAGATAAACAATGTTTTCATACTCACTAATTAGATAGTCTTTAAAGCATAGCACAGAGCATTTCCCACTAATGCTACGCATGGGATTGGTATCTTCAATAGAGCTCAGAAACACTTCATTCTTATAAAACATACGAGTTGGTTGATGTTCTGTCTCAGATGGATGTACAAACCATGGGCCATGGAACCAGGGATCACCACTAGAAACAAAAATAAAATAAAAATTGCATGTTTCTGTGTACCAGGGTAAGTCTTCTTCAAGATATACAGAACACTATAGAACTAATCACCAGCTTTGAGAGAACATAGTTTTTATTATTTGTTCATTTTGAAATTAGAATTTGTGTTTAAAAAGCAATTTGTCAATAGATAAGCAAAGATTGGGAATAAATAAAAATATGCTTGTGTAATTTCATTAAAAATGAAAATGTCACATGTTTATTCGACTAAACCATTGCCAAAGAAGCAATCACTGGTCACATAATACAGGATTTTTAAAAATTAAATTATTAATTAAATTATTATTTAATTTGTTAGAATATGCACACTTACGCTGAATCTTTCCACATTTTATCCATCCTTGCTAGAAATGGCCTATCTTCATCAGATCTCAAGTACACACAATCACCAAGCTTATAAAAACCTGATTCTATATTCAATTGTTCATAATATGTACAACCATCATCTGGGTTTGGTACTTCAACTTCAACATTCTGGGAGGAAACATATTTATATAAATGTCACTGTCATACTTGTAGTATTATAAAGTGCAGTGCATGACAGTACATGTAATACCATTATTTGTTGGTTGTATTTCAACTCAAAAATGTCCTACTCAAAATAGTAAACAAGCAGCCTCTCGGCTGAGATAGCTCTGCTGTTAGTAATCAAACTTGCGGTTTTCAACAAGAAGTCGAAAATATCACTTTTTACCAAAAATATTTATAAATTCATCAAAATTAGAGAATTAAAGATATCATCACGAAATGAACAAATCTGAAAGAGGTCTACCCAAAGAATCTATGTTGCAAATATGAAAACATTTTGTTTAACGGTTTTGAAGAAGAAGAAGACAAAAACGGAAAAGTTGACGACAGACTACAGATGCCGGACAATCAGTAATATGAAAAGCTCTGTGTCATCGTCTTTGTCGACAGCAGCGCTAAAAAATCGAGATATCATTGTGCAAAAATCACAAAATGTTTGTTTTCAAAAATACATGCACTCACTTCAAGCAAAACTATTCATGGCAAAGCACCAATAATACCCGGTATATGGTGTCATTTAATGTTCAATTTCTATTATTGCATCGTTAATATCAAACTGACTTGAAAAAAACTTATTTAGTAAAAATAAATATCTAAGAGGTGCATTACCTCCCGCTCCTTATCAAGTACATCAGTTTGATCCGTTTCCATGGATTCTTCTTGTTTATTTATATGATCAGCAAATACTGACGCTATTCGTACTTTAGATAATGTCTCGTCTCTAGATATAATCTTAGTACTTCCCTGTGGTAATGACCAGATCTAGAAAAGATGTAAACAGTTAGACCATATGTCAAGACAGAAAATGTAGAATACATATTAAAATTACACTCTAAAATAATAATTTTATTACGGATTTATGATTCTGTGACATTTTTGATGGTAGAAAATATGTCCTAAACTTTCAAGTAGATTAAGTTGTGTTTTGGTGCACATAGATTGACGAAGATGCTCCCCAGTCCTGAATTACTACAGCTCACAGTAAATTCAGAACACATGCAAATACTCAAATAATTAAAAATTATACAATAATTTGGCAAAAAACATCACAGTAAATCTAAACTCCCTTGCAGCCTTTTATAACAGGCCTATAATTTGTGACAAGAAAAAATATGTTTATGTAATGAATAAAACGAATAAAAGAAGAGACAAAACTCCCTTGCAATACTACCTACCTTGATTTTTTTAAAAGCCTTGGCTTTAGCATTGTACCTAGATTCACATGCATATACATCCTCCTCTGCAAATCCATCAGGTCTGGATTTAAAGTAATCTTTAACAGACATGACGTAACACTTCCCCATGACACGGTTAGTTTTTACAGTGTTGTAATAGTCACTTTTGAAAACCTCCTACAAGATACACAACAGATAATTAAACAATTATTAAAATATCCTAGCAATAAAGGAAACAATTTACTACATACATGTACAAAATTTCATTTTGCATGACACTGCTTATTATTACATCGGAAGAACAACAAAAGCGTCACAAATTGATGACTCTATCATCCACACAGAATACAGTGAGACCCTAAGAACAGTAATTCCATGATATTTTGACATATGCAGCCATCAATCAAAGATATTTTTTTTTATTTCGAAAGATTTTTTCGGAAAGATCTAAATCTGAAACAAAAACTGAAACTTGCTATCATGATCACAATTCATAGTTATTGGACCGTATTGGACCCAGAAACTTTGGACAACTTTCAAGTAGATGGGATGTTAAACTAAGTTATATGTATTTTCAATCTGTCATGTATTATGTCCCACTGTGAAGATAATGCCCATAATGTATTAAGTGAAATTCAAATGGACAATACAATACATATTTAACCATACCTTTTCTAAAAACTTCCTGGTAGCCAAGTGAAAGGTTTCATCTGGTCTATAATACCAGTTACCATGCAGCCACTGTTCATCATTTTCATCAGTCCACAGTTTTTCTATCACTGCGATGTGAGGTTTGAGATTTTTTTCTCTAAATAGATTAAAAGTGATACCGGCTTACTACATGTATGCTTTACTTAGATTTGTTGAATTAGGATTATCACTATTATCACTCAAGAATAAAAATAAAGTCTAGTGAAAATACATTTTTCCAGTATGTCCAATTCCTATTTTCACCAGAAAATACACAACATGTACACATTTCGTGAAACTTAATTTTAGCCAATAAAAATATTCTACAATTCCTTGGATTTTCTGTATGGTAGACACCTACCGGTAAACATAGACTCAGTCGAGGCGATTAATTTGTTTTTGTAGTTTAAATAAAATAAAACAATTCGCGAAATTCCCTGTAACTGCGAAATCACCCCGACTGGTTTATTCTGCATGGCCCATCGACACTGCAGGAACCCGTCGATTTTTCAATGAGTATTTATGTTAATGAGTGTTCTAATTGACAATCATCTAAGCCAATCACAACTGATCTCAGATCGAGAAGACATCGGCTGATTGTAGCAGCTGATTTTTTTTTAATTCTACGACTAGAAACTACATTAAAACCTAAGTTTTACAGTTTTTATGCTACATTGTAAGTCTATTTACGACGACTACAACAAACTTGAATTTCAACGTGCCGCCATGTTGGGTTTGCAGGTTGACCTTTACCATGTTGACCTCATTATGAACGTATTTCCGTGCCCACCTCATTATAATATGTGCATTAATGATATTTAATAACAATAAATTTCCTGCAGAATAAACCAGTCGGTGTGATTTCGCGCTAACACCTCCATTTCGCGAATTTTTTTATTTTATTTAAACTACAAAAACAAACAAGTCATTGAAAATGACACAGTCCAGTTAAATTTTTGAAAGTTCTCTTTGTGCTCGTCATATTAAAGCGGAGGGGTTGTCGTGAGCGTGTATTTGAAACTTGAGTTCCAAGTGGCGTATACAACAGATTGTTTATTTACATCAAAACACGTGTTCCGTGTAGTAGTAATATGGCCAAAAATAAAAACAGCCGTTATTCAGCCATCCTTGACCAGATTTTGAAACAAATTGTCATGGACATGCATCCTAACATGTATAAAGTACATGTATGTGCCAAATTTGAATGAGAACTGACAGAGCACGTCCAAGATACCGCATAAAAAAAATAGATGCCTGCCAGTCTACCATCTTTGATCCAATTCTGAAAATGTATCCTAACATGTATATTCTATGTACCAAGTTTGAATGGCAACTGACAAAGCATGTCCAAAATACAACATTTTCAAAAAACAAGATGGTTGCCAGTCGGCCATTTTGAATCGAAATGCTAAACCATTGCATGTGCATATGTCCCACATAAGGTACTAGGCACATGCGAAGAATGAACGGAATCGGTCCACAGAATTCTGAAATATGACTCTGGACAGATTGACGCAGGGACAGACGGGCGGACAGACACAGGAACTCACGGACGATCGGGGACACGTATCCTAACATGTATGATCTATGTACTAAATTTGAATGAAAACTGACAAAGCATGTCCAAAATACAACATTTTCAAAAAACATGATGGCTGCCAGTTAGCCATCTTTGATCCAATTGTGAAATAAATCGTCATGGACATGTATCCTATTAAACATGTATAATCTATGTACCAAGTTTGAATAAAAACTGACAAAGCATGTCCAAAATACAACATTTTCAAAAAACAAGATGGCTGCCAGTTGGCCATTTTGAATCGAATCGCTAAACCACTGCATGTGCATATGTCCCACATAAAGTACGAGGCACATGCAAAGAACAAACGGAATCGGTCCAAGGGATTCTGAGATCTGACTCCGGACGGACGCACGGACGGACGCACAGACGGAGACCAAATTATAAGTCCCCGTTTTCGGACTTTGTTAACCAATGCCACAATGATTGGACATTGGTTGCACACTCTTATTGTGAAAAGGGGTAATATCCTGGTAACTACACACTACTACATACTGTTTTGTATTTAGCAGAACATAATTTAACTTACAGTGGTTCCAAATATATAAAATCTCCAACACGATATGTTTGTCCTTTTATATCAACACCCTCAGTAGCCTAAAAGAGAAATAGGAATAAAATTACTGATTTGTAAGAACACTAGAATTTTTCCTACCCAAATTATGGGACATACAATTATTTTCTAGAATTTCTTTATTAATTATAGATCAAAAGAACGTAATTGCTCGGTGCCTTAAGATATAGATACATTTTTAAAAAAAGTTTGAGAATTCAGACTTACTCCACTATCCTGTTCAGCTTGTTTTGCAGCTTCTAATTCCTGAATGCGTTTCTCTTCTTCTATTTTCTCTTGGTCTTCTTTCATTTCTTTGGGCAGTTTTTCTTTCTTCTCTTTTTCTAGATCATTTTGCAAGTGTTTATGGGTGTAACTCAAAGCAGGGGAAAGTAGCAGTTCTCCATTCTTACAGATCTCATCTCGGATAGTTATTAAGAACTTATGAAGTTCTACAGAATCTTCATACACCTATCGGTAAAACAATATATGGGCAAATCAAATTAACTCTGAAAGGTGTACATAGCTTGCTGGTGCATTGACATCTATGTTTGGCCTCAAAAAACATACTTAATAAAGTCTTATGGTTTACTGAATATTTCTCTTCAGTTCAGCTTTTTTGTTTTGTTTGAAGCCAATACAGAAGATGACAACTGTATGCAGTTTGACTAACTGGGTATAAATAGATGATTTTCAATTAAATGCAAGATCTGGTGTATTGAGTGAAAGGTGCAGACCAAACATCTGCAGCAAAAAATTGGACGATTTGATTTGAATTTGTTTTTTATAGCTCAATGTCGAAATGCCAGTCATTACCCTATTTAATCAAAATTATCTATCACTGAACATGTAATATCCTAAAATATTATAGAATTTTTTTTATGTCATAACGACGCTATGACCTTTGTCTTGTTTTGAAAAGTTCGATTTCATGCATAATGCGGGATCAGGCAGTGAACGGAAAATGGTCTATTGTATGAACATTACTGTATTAAGGTAGCCTTATACCATTAGAACAAAATAATGCTATTGTTTACAAAAACTACATACTGATAAAAATATAGACATCCAACTACTTTTAATGCAAAATATGGGACAAACCTCCATGGAAATTGTAATATACCATTGGTTTGTATGGTTAAAAGTTAAAAACTAAATGCCATCTAAATGAATAATGTAACTGTTTATAACTGGCCAGGGTGTCAGAATAATGGGAAGATAATCTATGAACAAACAAATTCTTGTATTGATACAGTACACAGTTTGAACATAGCAATGGCAATTATGAGACTTACCTGTGAATCAGTCCTACTTAATCTTCTAGCTCTTTCAAATACTTCAAACATATCATCTTGAAAGCGATCTAGTCTCCGGTAACGTCCTTTATCGATATTTCTACGTACAGTGTCTAAATCTAAAGGGTTTCTGAAAAAAATAGAAAGAAATGTGCAAATCAAATCACTGCAATGTTATCTAAATCACAGAGATGTTTCTATGGTCAAAATAAGTAATTTTTTAATGATTCAGTATAAAACACTACTTTTAGAGATATACATTTGCTGCAATGGCTGGTGTTGTGTAAAAAACAACTTTATAACAAAGTAGTTTTCAACCCTAATTACAGAAACAAACTTACTTTTCACACCCTTCTTCTTTTTCACTTGATATCTCAGCAAGCGAATCACTGTAACACCGACCTTCTTCATCTTGGTGATTGACAACAGACACATATAGGTTTGTCATGATTTCACGGACTAACATTTGTACATCAGGGACACCAGACAACTCATCACTCATCAATTCTGCATTCTTTTGTATCAGTACTCTTTGTAAAGTCAGTGCATCCTGTAATATACAAATCAATACAATCCAGAGACCAGCACAACGTCATGTTTCTAAGCTCATTGACTTGTGCAATATAGTAACCATGCTCTTGGAAATAGTAGAAAACTATTGCAAAGTTGAACATTTTTATAATTTTGCTTAGGGAAGAGTAGGAAATCAAACGGGCGGTGCACCGCGGTCATTTCCGCAGTGTACCGCAGAACGCCGGGGAGAGCCGCGGACTGCTTATAATTAGGGGTCTCTACCGCTGTACCGGTCTCTACCGCGGTCCTCGGTAATGTGTGAAATACATACTTAACAGTTTCTTTGTGATTCCATGAGTCATTGTTTTAAAATCCAATGTTATGTGCGCTTGTTTAGTATTTAGTACATGTATTTAGCGTAACACTGGAATAAAGTTTACAATTGAAAAGAGGACGATTTACAAAGTTTCAGCGTATCCAAGCCGTATCCTGGTTCTTGATTGATTTGGCAGTATCATGTTCACCATTTGTGTCACACTCCAGAAAAAATGGCCAGCAAACGAGAAACGGGCGAACTAATCAAAACAGGTCAGGCTGTCTGCATTGCACTGACAATGACATGATTATTTTCTGTTTCGTTTCATAAATCTTGCCTTGCGCATGTATTCTTGGTTGACAGAATCTTTTTTAAACAAAAGACGTTATTTTTCTGTTACATGTTCGTGTTCCATGGTACTCGTGAGTGTGAAAGGCATTTTGAATGAATAATTATTGCGTTTATGATACCGTACGATAACGCTAGCTGGCTTGATTAGAATTTCATTGCGTGTGAACCGCTGAGGTCATTGCCCGTTACTGTGCCAACCGCACGTAGTTCAAAAACACCTGACGTTGTTTTGTTTTGTTTTCACTGAAATGTAAGCGATCGAATACTCTGCGTTCAAAGTATGCTGCCCCGAGTTTGAAATACAGTAAATTGTAACGCATGGATTTTATTTACATGAAATTTAGT